TGAACAAAAAAGTCAACACTTAGAGGTGACAGTCTGTTTTTCATGTTAGATGCAATCGTCAGGCCACGACTCGTGGTCTGACGATTGCATCTAGCATGAACTGTCGCCTCTAAGTGTTGACTTTATGTTCACTTTTATGTTTACACACGCTCTATCTCTGATATTGAGCACTTTATCCCATAAATATAGCACATCTTAAGATATATATATATGTATATATATATATATATATATATATATATATATATATATAAACACGATACTATATAGTATGTATATATAAGCAAGGATAACAATTCAAACACATATGCGCACGAAAAATAACGTTGATAATATTATGAAATATATATACAGGGAGCGATGAGTAAATTACCGCCATTTTATATTTTTAATTTCGCGCATGCGCATTGTTTGATTGTTTTTAAATTTTGTCCACTGCACAATAAAGTCGGGCCAACTGGAAACCGTCTGGGAGGAAAAGTCCATCATGGCGCAGTTCACTCCGCCAGAAATTTGGAAACGGCTTGCTGTACTGCTTGGCATTCGCGTTGAAATCTCCAATATGAATATTTCAGTGATTGGGCGTCAAGCTGAGGACAGTACAGAGGATTCGGATGATTTATCCAGTCAGCATCATAGTGTTTGGAGTGATTACTAGTGATAGTGAAGTTATGATTCCATTCATCTTCCCACAGGGCCTCACTCTACACTGAGGCCTACATCAAGTGTTGCCAAGGATCGAGAGGGTGGCTGCTGTAAGACCCTATGTCTGGCAACATCACCATGCTACAGAAAAAGGAGAACCTAGTCATGGCTGTCAGACAGTTTCTACGGCCACATCATTCCTTACATCTGGCCACCTAACACACCAGGTTGCAACCCCATTGATTATTATGTGTGGGGCGCAGTTGAGCGAGAGACCAAATAAACTTCTTGTAGCACCAAATATGACCTGAAGGCAGGGATTATAGCAGCATTCACCAATTTAATAAAGGAAACCGTTCAGGAGAGATGCAGGAAATTTAAAAGTCGTCTGGAGGTTGGAGCCAATGGCGATTTTATTGAATAAATTTACTCTTTAGTATTTCAAGATATTTTTTGTAAATTTGGTAAATATATCTGTTAAAATGAGATATCAGTGTTATTTTGTTTTTTCGCGTCCTATATATATATATATATATATATATATATATATATATATATATATATATATAAATATATATATATATATATATTTAAGTTATGAAGAACTTGGTAATCCGTATGGGTAATCCCAAGGAGGATGAAATCCTGAGAGCTCAATGTAAATCCAGAGCTAATATTTAAGAGAAAAACAGACCACTTTAAGATAATAATTTATTTCACCAGAGTCCTTTTTAAAATAAATTATTATAATGGTACCTTAAAGTGGTCTATTTTTCTTTTAAATATATATATATACATATATATATATATGTGTGTGTGTGTGTGTGTGTGTGTGTGTGTGTGTGTGTGTGTGTGTGTGTGTGTGTGTGTGTGTGTGTGAATAAAAACAAAAGGAAAGCATATTTAACCCACGCGTTTCGTACGTTGATAGATTTTATCAAGGCAAATTTAAGGATGTTATTATTCAACCAATTTTTATAAGCATAAATAAAAATGTCGTAACCTTTCTAAAGTTTTTAATGTATTTATAAGCTTCGTAATTTTAAAAATCGGAAAATCTAACTAGTGCATCAGAGAGCGAAATGCAAAATAAGTTTTCTATTTGTCTTTATATTTGCCGGAGGGCGCATTTTCCTTAATAAGATTTCTCAAATGTGGAGGCTGGTGGTCGAAATAAAATACAGTTTAAAATAAAGTAAACGTCTACTTAAATATGGGTATCCACAAAAAATGGCGTTTAAAGTAATAAAAATATGCCGGATTAATAAATAAAATTCATTAATTCTTTAGAAATTGCTTCCTTCAGATTTATAATTTTCGAAGAAATCAGAACGTGCAAAATGTCCTTTAAGAACAAAATATAACCTTTCTTGACGACGATGCTTTTCGTAACCGAGTGGTCGAAGCACGTCGGATCAAATAACGTTTCCCCCTGTAAAGAGAGGCGCAGATTCGAGTCCTGCTGTAGGACGCGTATTCTTTAATAAGATATTTTCGAATGGATATGCGGTAAGATAACGTTTAAAGTAACAAATATGTGAAGAAAATGAGGCAAAGTGGAAAATTTATATACGACGCTTTTCACCGAAAGCGCTTGCTATCTTTGACACCTCGCATTAAAACGAAAGAAAGACAAAACTGTATGTGAGGAAACATGACTCGGGATATCTGAAAATAAGCGGGGTGGGGAATAAGTCAAATTAAATTAGATTACCTTATCCCAAGTTCGAGTTTATTACATTCACTTATGTAACGAATAAAGAAAAAAGTAATATTTCCAGAATTAATTTTCTCACCAATATATGGTAACATGGGCATAATTATAAAATAAATGCAAATCACATTCACGGAAGGTACTGATGTTTTTTTATTTGCCATGAATCATCTAATTGTTAGAAAATAACTTCTATTAAATATAATTTGGAAAATCCCCAAAAGAATAGAATGCACCCATAGCAGTCACTACTATTTAGATGACATGGATTCTTAGGTTAATGAAAAAAATAGCGGCCATTCGACTCCTACCGTAGAGAGCATTTTCTTTAATAAGATTTCTTGAATGCTCAGGTCGGTAGACGAAATAATATACTGTTTGAATTAAACGGAACGTCTACTCAAATATGGGTATCCCTAAACTTTAAATATATTATATATATATATATATATATATATATATATATATATATATATATATGATGGAAGTATAGTCTTAATGTATGCTATATTTATAGGTGCTCAATATCAAGGATAATGTATGTAAATGTAAAAGTGGACACTGGAGACAACACCCAGTGGCGACAGTCTGTTTCAGTGTCCGCTTATATATATATATATATATATATATATATATATGTGTGTGTGTGTATGTATGTATGTATGTGTTTGTGTGTGTGTGTGTTTGTTTCATCCTGTAAGGGACTTTATCAAAGCAAGTCTATCAGAAGATGAAACACGTCGGCTAAGATAAGTTTTTCTTTTGTCTTTATTCATATTGTCCTTTTACAGATATACTCTATCTTAAATGTGTACACACACGCAAAACACACGCACACACACACACACACATATATATATATATATATATATATATATATATATATATATATTCTACCATATTGAATATTTATACGCACACATACACAATTTGGAATTTATACACTCACGATTTTGTTTTTAATAGAAGCAGATAGGTTTTATTAGGAGTAGATAGGTTTGCCTATCGTTCGGTTCAAAATTCTCTCTAATTTTGGAAACAGGAGTAGAGGTTTATCCCTTGTTTCCTTTTTAGGATTCGGTTTGTGCTTCCTCATAAAGTCTTTTTTCTTTCTCTTTCACTTCCAGTAGCCCCTTTTATTATCGCCTCGTTTGGAGTGTACTGATAAAAAAAAAAGATTGCTATGGTAAAGAAAACTATAATTCATTTCTGTCACCTATGAGTGGCTTTTCACTATTTTCTCAAACTCTCACACACTGGATAACAGGGACTTTCGGTTATCTGGTAAAAGCAGGATGTCTTTCAGCTTTTGTTTATACGCATTTGTTATTGTATTTGAATTGGTATTTGTGTGGGTGTCTTTATGAGTGTCTTATTAGTTCCACACTACTGTTATTCCTGCCATGATTTGATTGGAGGTTGCATTAGAATGGATCATAAGTAATTTCCGATTTCTGGAACCAATTGTAATGACGAATTGCTCTAGCGTACCCACGAACAATAATGGGTAGGTCACGATTCACATAAATAGAGTAGTTAATACTGTATGCTGATCAGCATTTGGAGATTCGTCTCCAGCTGTGTAGGTCAAACTCTCTGCCTCCAAGCAGAGAGGATCCCCTGACGTGGTTATGTCGAAGGGCAGAATCTCGTCTCGGGAAACAGTTACCCGACCTCGTTTTATAAGGGATCTACGAGGAATTGTTGGCCGATATTACAGGCTCGGATACTCCACATTAAATTCGGCTTTGTGCCATATCTGACCGCGTTGGGCGGTTGGTAGATATCCTGCAGCTGGAGATTCATTGTAGAATTCTGTTGTGTATGATACACCTAATTTACATAAGCGGACTACCGACCATATAAATATGGGTTGGTACCGGAAGACGGGGAAGATAGTAGAGATTAAGAAATTGAATCCAGAGACTCTGCCCGACTGCGATTTAGTCAACCCATTATGCAGGAACAGTCTTCCCAAGAATATACCAAACTAACTGTAAATATTGTGTACCTATTCTTTGTTTCAATACATTTTGTTAACGTACATTTTGTGTTGTATTATTCCATGCTTATTTAAGCTTCAACAAATTCACTTGACTCACTTCTAGCAGTTGACTATTTCTTCTACGCGCCGCTGGCGAATCTTATATGTGTTGTTCTTGTCCTAAGTATTATCGTTCATTACCAACCTTCGTGTGATTATTCTATTCAGTAACCTTCTCTAGGTTACAACACGAATGTAACATCCAAATTAACCGTTCCTTAAATATACCATAGCAGGTGGTAAAAATGGATTCCACACAACAATAGTCAACGCAAACGACGGTAGATTGACAAGGATAAATCTCAACAACCAACTCCAAATGTTGAGCTTAACAGAAGAATTAAAATGCCATGCGTATGATAGGATCGTCGAGGTATTATTCATTTCGATTTAAGAAACGTTAAATGTACATTTATACATCTAGCAGCTGAAAGGTGGCCATAAAAGTCTCGCTGAAAATAGCCCTGTGCACATCAACAGTGAAAACTTTTCACTCCCATGACAAGGCAAAGCCGAAAACAGTAAGAAAACACCGGAAAAATATTTAGAACTCGGTTGGGCTGTCATACCTCACCCGACATATTCGGGCCGCATCACATTGAAACATAGGTTCCCGTACGATCACCGAGGTTAATTAACGTCGATCCTGGTCAGTATTTAGATGGGTGACAGCATGGGAATACCAGCTGCTGTAAGCTTGGATGTGCGGGTGGTGTAATGGATAATGGCTTGGAATTGTTAATCGGGGAGTCGTCTTCCAATTTCCGTTGGGTTTGTTATATTCATTTATGTGCACAAACCCTTAGCAAAGTTATGAATCTGCCGCCTCCCCCAGCTATGGGTTAATTAGTAAGACTTGCATGACTAAAATATTATCATCTCTCCCCAATTCCAATAAAATAAAAAATTGCGTACAAAATATTGTGATTTCGGCATTAAATAACCCATGAAGGTTAATATGCCGCTAAACAAAAGCAGCGAATAACCCGACATATTCAACTGATCTTGGGCACCTCGGCGTGGTGTAATGGTTAGCAAGCTTGTCTCGTTAGATCAGTTACGGCTGAAAAGTGAATTCGATCCTCACTAGGTGTCCCATACTTTCGGCTTTGTGCCACTTCTAAGCTACGCTTAGAAAATAACTATTCACCTGTTCTTGCAACAACGGATTTTTACATTTTACGATCGCAGCAAAAGGTTTTGATGAAGGTAATTTTCTGTAATGAAAACCAGGTTCAAGAGTTCATCAAAAACTTTTCACGTCCAAACCATCGAAATTTTACTCAAAAGGTATCTCGTCCTGGGTAGGACGGTAAATTACACCCAGCACTTTTGCCAATTCAGTGTTCGGATTTAATAAAAAATGTTAATTTTCACATACAAATAAATTGAATGTTTCATTTATGCATATATACTTGGAGCGGGTAGAATGGAGATCAACGTGTTTTAGTGGACTCAGTTTTCAATCAGCTTGCTTGAATCGTCTTCAAGAAGCGAGAGCAAAATCTAAAAGGTCAGCCAATCTAACAGTGATCTCATATCACAATCCTTACTCTTGCTCAATATGCGGCCTCCTTTGTAAATTCACAAAGTGCCACTTAAGATTATCGCACAAAATTTCATAAGCCAATCAATTAAGGTGTCAGATCCTCATACATCGAAACCGACCACAGAGTCCATTATATATATATATATATATATATATATATATATATATATATATATATATATATATGCAGTAAACGTGCACGCTTTTTTTGTTGTTTTTCGGTGGCGCAAAATCACTCTCGTCATTTTAAATAATTAATGGCGATATATCTTCATGTGTATCTTGAATAAAATTAACATATTTTGTTTGACTGAGTTTGAATACGAATTCGGTTATCAGACTCTATGATTTTGTTTTGTTAGTTCTTTAAATGGTTCTTCCTAACTTGCCGTAATCATTTCAAATTATGTTGGAATTGCATAGCTCATTCAGCATTGTTATCATTTGTAAAAAGATGATTTCCAAGTTTATTGGCTATTTGGAGGCCTTCTAGAATTGTATTTTCAGAGAGTACAACCACTTCTTCATCATCACTACTATAAACTAACGTGGAATCATATGCATTCTCTGAAATACTATGTATGTTCAGTGCCTACATAGATCCAACCCACACCAAAGAGTGGAGGATCACTATATGAAAAATTTATTTTACTTCTCTAAATTTTTACTTAATTATGTTACGTAGATTTTCGTTTTTTTGTAAATTAAAATTGATTGATGTTACTTAATCATTTACTTGCCAATTGCAATAAATTCGGTAGTCACACAAGGACAGATGTTTAAACTGTGTTAAAACCGTGAATTGAGTGTATATACCTAAACAAAGTCTCACATGTGCTCATATGACAATTGATAGTTTTGATCTTAAAAGTCTTAGAAACTGGTGCGTACGACAAAGAACTTGCAAGATGTTAGTAATACCACAAGATTATCTCATGCAGTTCACTAAAACTAAACAATAATTAGTGTAATTAATCAAATTCGAATTATTTTTTCTGATTGGGATATTGGAGGTTTTAAGGAGCATATAACCTCCTCTTAATTGCTATTGTTCCCATTTCCATCCTAACCCGGGGTGGTAGCAACTACTTGGGTCCTAGCTATGGACAAAAAGTGTACCCTTAAACAAGAACAATATACTATAAAAGTATAAAAATACATTTTTAGCGCAAAAATACCAGCAATACATTTTTAGATAAAACAAATTACCAGCATTACATATTTATAGTAAAATTACTGTTATGGTGCAAGTTCCTTGTAGCACGGGTGATGGTCCAAGGTTAGAACCAATGAAAGAATAACAGAAACACAGGTATGGAATACAAAGATATATTACAACAGAAATATAATACAAAGAAGTAGAAGTATTAGTAATGACTATCAGATTTGGTTAGAGTGAACTATGTTGTCTCGACATGTTTCACTATTCCAATGTCCTTACAATATGCTCTCAATTATCTCTCCTTGTCTTACAATATATGCTCATACCTCTTGAGAGGCGCAGTATTTATAATGTCAGGAATAGTCCATTATTATTATGGGTAAGTTCCCATAACAATTACCAACAATACATTTTATGGCAAAATGAGTAAACAATACAAAAGATTTGGATGAGTCTAATGGTGATTAGGAAGGTACGGCTGCTCTGAAAACTCACTTGGATCGTTCTGATAAGAAAAGAACTTCTGAATTTGTTATTGAGGGCATTAGACACAACGCAGAAGCCTACATCAAGTGCCTTGAAGAAGTAGTGTTGTCCCGAGTCAAGAGAGTGGCTGCTGGAAGACTCTATGTTTGGAATCTGCACCGTGCCACACAAGCTGAAGAATCTAGTTATGGTAGTCAGAATCTTTCTGCGACTACATCACCCCTTACATCTGACCACTTAACTCCCCAGACTACAATCCCCTTCATTATTATATGTGGGGAGCAGTTGAACGAGAGACCAACAAAACTCCTTGCAACACCAAAGATGAATTGAAGGCAAGCATTCAACAACTTAAACAAGGAGACCGTCCAGAAGAGTTGCAGGAGATTCCGAAGTCGTCTGGAGTCCGTAGTTGAAGCCAATGGCGATTTTATTGAATAGATTTACTCTTTAGTATTTCAAGATATTTTTGTGTAATTTTGGCAAATATATCTGTTAAAATGAGATGTCAGTGTTATTTTCATTTTTTGCGTAAACTAGACGACAATTTGTTCATCGCACCCGGTATATAGTAAAATGAGCAGCAGTACATTTTATAGCAAAATGACCAAAAATACATATTATCTGTAGTTGAAGCTATAAAAATGTGTTCAAAATGATTAGATCCGGCAGTAAATAATTAAAATAATAAGATTTTATTCTTAACTAGCAGCATGGGCCGGCGTTGCCCGTGCTTGATTCAAAAATCGTACGACTCATACAGCAATCGCTATCACTTGACTTAAAATATTTTTGCGCTTCCTTGCCTTTAAAGGAGTGCCCTTTGCCGTGCTGATGTTGCTACATGCCTTACTTCTTGCCTATCTCACACTGCGATTTTTTTCTAAGCTCTATACTAAACATTAAATCTGTTACGAAAAAAGAACTAAACAAAATGAACACAAAACGATCTGCTTTATAAAAGGACTCGTAACTGGAAAAACTGAATGAAAAAAGAATGTTAACAACAAATACTTTTTCACACCCAACCCAGTTCTGCGGAATCAGAATCAACGTTGAGTTTAAGCAAGCTAATGAGCCAATTGGAGTAAAGTGCCATGCAGATTTAAATTTTTCCCACTTGTGACGAATGCAGCTATCGATTTTTTTGCATGCTAGCATGCTAGTTAACATTCGTGTCAGTCAACTGTTGGCTCTCACTCTGGCCAGTAGAAAATGGCCGCAAGCTACATGAAAACCGCCGCAGAAGCATGAAAAAAACGATTATTTCCACTATCGATGGGAGTTGGGAAATGCAAGGTCGGTGTTGGTCTTCCCGCTAACTTAGAGCATGTGCATGTAAACTTTGGTGCAAATCCGTTGAAAATCCTGCCTTTTATAAATAGAGATAGTATTAACGTGTACAACAACGATCTTGCATGATAAGTACAGTCAGTAACAACACAAGAATATCTAATGCATTTCTCAAGCATTAAACAATAATTAGTGAAATTCGGATAATTTCTAGGGTAAATGTCTTTCTATACGTGTTTCAATAAAAGCGATCGCTACGCTTAAGATACGTAAATGTTGATCCTTATTTTTTTACTTCAAGGGTGATTACTGTTTGAATTTAAAAGCTCTTCTAATAACTAAGTTGCAACTGTCAGTTCAGCATAATGTAAATCGTAGTGTAACAGTTCGTAACTCTGAAAATGAAATCGGAGAACCGAGTTCGAATTCCAGTCGAGTTCGTTATATACACCTTCGCACAAGTACTCTTGAAAAAGGTATGTTACCATTTCTTCTACTCAACCTCCAGCTATGAGTTAAATAACAGCGCACACTGTGCTCTCTAGCCATGGTTGACAACCAGTCTAGGAGAAGAACAACTCTGAATTCAAAACCGGTATGTAGCACCAGTTCAAAACATCACAGCTAATAACTGCCATGGTGCGTACACAGGAGAGAATCATCCCCATTCATTACTTTAGTATTTTATTCGTAAAAAGGAAGTTCTATTCCGCCAGCTTCTTGCCTAGAACTGCCGTTTTATAGAATACTAGCAGTAGAGCCCGGCGTTGCCCGGGAATGTAACAGTAACAGATAGATCAAGTATCGACCATCATAAAGACTGAAAAATAAAATTGACAAACATTATTGTTTAAGGTTGACGGACAATCATGTCTTAATTAGTTTTTTTGTTTTTTTGTTGTTGTTTTTTACGAATTGGTCAAACCCAAACTCAAACAAAAACATTGTTTTCAATCGTTATGAGTCTACCGATTGATTAGAATTTTATTATAAACAATTATCTTGTAAATGGAATTTTTAAAGCATTCTGAATGTAAAAATAAAGACAAAAAGTGTGCAAGACAATAAGAAACACTACCTGCCAAAAAAAAGTGAAGTTTTGTTGAAATCGGTTGAAAAATGTAGGAAATCCAATCCCATATATAAACGAACAGACACACACACAAACAGCCTGGGTTTTATAATAAGTATAACTCGATGTGATTT